TCCCGGAAGGAGCAGCTACGGCTGTGGATTTTGCGCAACACGATGAATTTTTTGAGGAAATGGTTGGGCGGGCACGCTCAGGCGTGAGTGGGGAGGGTACGTATCTATATGTCGCGGTGTGTTGTAGTGTTGGTTTCTCGCGTTTAGGCGCGGTAGAGGCGTTCGTCATGGTCACCAACTCAACGCTATAGCTGTCTCTCTTGGTATCGGACTTGCTTAGAGAGAACGGATGTGATTGCTGCATGCTTTGTTTCCAGCACCTTCACCAGCCAGGGGTTGAGTAGAAAGTATACGGCGGTATTGTATGTATGTATGTATGTATGTACATATGTAACGTGTAGATAATGTAAATATGGATTGACAACGGTTTAACTGATATTCTGAAGGCATATACGTGTAGAAGGGAGGATTTGAGGGGGGGTCGTGGTGTACTTTGGGGGCTCCGTGGGGTCATNGGGGGCTCCGTGGGTCATTTTGGTCAAAAATGTCGCATTTCACCCAATCACCAAAAACTCATCGGATATCGACGAAGCTCGACGCCGCGGTCACGCCCAAAGTTGTTTCACTTTCCAAATCGTTTTTTTTCGAAAGATATCGCGAAAAACAAGATTGATTGTGAATATTTGCCCGAACGGACCATATATAGGAAGATATGATTCCTCGGAGTAACTTGCCATCTGGAGAAGTGGCGAGTAAAGCACCGAGGAGATTTGCCTCTTCCGAAGTCCATGGCCGCTTGCCGAGGGAAGAGATAGGGGAGCCTCCGGCTCGCCTCTCTCGACCCTCTGGTCACTCTTTCTCTACCTCTCTCCTCGTTACATCTCACGAAAGGAAATAGCCACCCTTGGCAGTGGGCGAATACAGTACTGGGCCCGCTATAGTTCCGGTATGTGCCCAGAGATAATATCGGCACTATTGAGGGCACCGGCACTAATCAGAATAGTGCCTCAATAGTGCCGATTCGGCACTATTGAGGTTTCGAATATCCCTCAATAGTGCCGGTCCGGCACTATTGAGGATATGTTTGATTTCATGCTTTGGCGCTCATGCGTTGCGGGGCTAACAGAGTACGAAATGGATCAAACTTAGTGAAGGTATATCGTGGGCGTAGGCATCCTTTCTCGCGACAAGTATGGTTCCCCTCTGTCGCACACACAGAGGGCGAGTTGTAAAAAATATTAACTTGCATGTTGCACCGTTATTTTCTGCCTGCCTCAGCACATGAATGAACTGTACTGCACACCCTGAACTGTCGAAACTGCTGTTGACGGCAAGATGCTTGTAAAGCTCCCGTTCGTACAGAGTGGACGTAACTATATCTCAGCCCTAGAGCCCCTCCTGCGATGTTGCAAGATACAAAAGACAATACAGAAAAAGAAACACGACAGGAAGCGCACTGCAAGAAAACAAACATCAATACTACTGCACTACAGTTGTATCTCCCCCCCAAACTACGTCGCGACACTGGAGTGTCTGCCTGGCGTACCCGCTTCGATGCTGCAAGAAAAAAAATTAAACTGTAAGTACACGACAGGAAGCGCACTGCAAGAAAACAAACATCAATACTACTGCACTACAGTTGTATCTCCCCCCCAAACTACGTCGCGACACTGGAGTGTCTGCCTGGCGTACCCGCTTCGATGCTGCAAGAAAAAAAATTAAACTGTAAGTACACGACAGGAAGCGAACCGCAAGAAAAAGAAACAACCATGAACTCTACGTCGCGACAAATCCTCTAATGTCTGTCTGGCGCACCCGCCTAGCGGAATGCGCTGCGATCATCGACATCTTCGCTTTCGTTAGGTAGAACGCCGCGTCTCCGTTGCCACTGTCCTCTGCTGCCACTTCCAGGGCGCCGAAGTGAGACGACAGTTCTTCATAACCCGGTGGCGCACGTGGGGCACGGCGCTCGAGCCCCGTTTTCTCACCGCCGCCGCCCTGGTCCTGTTCGTCCTCCTCGTCGTCGCCGCCGGTAGACAAGTTCGTTCCAGCCAGCAGTGCTGTCATGTCTTCCACCGCGTCCAATCGAAGAGCCTCTACCACCTCCTCGTCGTCCTCGATGGTAGCCCACCCCTGAATCGCGGCCACCGCTTCCCCCGCGACCGGCTTTCCGGGTTCGATGTTGAGTTCTGCCAACAGTTCGCTGATCTCCTCGTCCACGACGCGGGATCCCTGCTTCTGCGCGTCCTGCACGCTCGTGCTCAACGTGTTGACAGTCTCTGCGAGAGCCTTCAGGTCAGGCTCGGCGACGTTGAACCGGGTCTTTCCGTGTTGCTTGGTGAGCTCAGCCGCCATCTCCTCCGGAAGCGTCTCGGCTTTGACAAAGCACCTGGCCAGGTAACGCAGAAATTGTGATGCATCCGTGTTTGGGTGGAGATGCGAATGTTACACGAACCCAGTGACAAACAATGACTCATGGGGATGCGAGAGGGCCTTTTTTTAGCAAAGAACCAAGGAGATTTGCGGTTGCGGGAATATTCAGTCGAAAAATAAAACCTATCCGTACAACCTTACCCACGTAACGTACCACCAAAGCCATGCGCACTTGGGCGAGCTACACATTTAAAACAGCGATATAACATGTTCAAACTTCACCTGGCGATGTCTTGGGCGGTGACGCTGGCCCATGCTTTCTGGAGAAGTTCAGCGGCGACCCGCACGTGAGGTTGGTGCCCTTGCACTAGCCCCAATAAACCGAAGCGAGCACTTCAAGCGGTCTGCAATCTGTGCATGAGACACCTTCTGATCCAACATCTTCAGAATCTCGAGCTTCTTCTTGTTGTCCAGCCGCGCACGAGAACCCGTTCCCTTCTTGCTTCCCCCGCTCGTCTGCTTCTGGCCTTTAGATGGTCCCGCCCCAGCACCCTTAGTTGGTGTCGCTTTGCGCTTGCTAGTCCTGGCGACACACGTGCTGCAGATGCGGTGCTGCTCGTTGTCCTCAAACACGCTGCCGCGATTGCCGTGGAGCCGCCCGCCACATCCTCCCTTGCAGGGGTGGCCATGAGGGGGTTGCGGCGTCCTGTCTCGTTGAAGGCACAGTTCACCTTCCGCACAGGGCATGGTGCGCCTCTGCGTAGAACTCTTCGGGTCTGCAGCAGCACGTGTACCCTCTGTGTTGCGTGTGTCCGCTGTCGTGTGTGTGTGTCTTTTATTATTAGCATCGACCGCGCTAACCGGCTGACCAATGAAAAGACGTCAGTCTTAGTGCGGTTGAAAACACAAAACACTTCTATCTACCATGAACTGGGACCCCGTGAGGGGGCAGCATGGGGGAGGCTAAACTATCCTTCGGATCAAAAACAGAAACAGCAGCAACAGCAGAAAACTGCACCCGTCTACCAAGGCTATTACCTAGTACTCGAGTTCGTTTAGGAGTACTTTCACCAGTATCCTCCTTGTTTTCGCTACCATCATTGTGTGTGTCTTATATTATTAGCATCGACCGCGCTAACCGGCTGACCAATGAAAAGACGTCAGTCTTAGTGCGGTTGAAAACACAAAACACTTCTGTCTACCATGAACTGGGACCCCGTGAGGGGGCAGCATGGGGGAGGCTAAACTATCCTTCGGATCAAAAACAGAAACAGCAGCAACAGAAGAAAACTGCACCCGTCTACCAAGGCTATTACCTAGTACTCGAGTTCGTTTAGGAGTACTTTCACCAGTATCCTCCTTGTTTTCGCTACCATCATTCTGATCCTCATTTCGACAAGAAGAATCTCTGGGCAGTTCTTCCCTAGCCCTACGTTTCTTGTTGTGGGGAAGGTCATCTGGCTCAAACCCTTTGCTCTCTTCCACTCCTCCATGTTTTTCTGCTCCATCGTCGTCATCCTCCTTTCTCCCCTTTCCCTTTCCTTCGTCTTCGTCACTCCCAAAAGAATTACCCTCATTACTATCGTTGTCGCAGAGATCCCAACCGATTGGCCCTGGTGGAAGTTGGTCGATCAGTAGCCCATGACGTTTGAACACATCGCGAGTTCGCATCGACAGAAAACGAGCTAGCTCGAAGGTAAACCGTCTCCGAATCCTGTTAGTATGAAAAGCTTTCAGGCGAACTAAGGCCCTCTCGTCGTCAAAATTTTCCCGGCAAAAAGCTTCGTGCGCCAAGTGGTTGGCGATAGCAACGATGAGTCGATTGGTGCCTTTGCCAAGACCACCATTCGTTGAAAAAGCAGCAGTAAGGAGGGTAGATCTAGACGGGTTGAAAGTTCCCGCATAGTGATTTGCCTTACTTGCAGCTCGATCTTCGAGGGCGGATCCTGGCTTAAGGATCGACTTGTCGATGCTTCGACCTGCTGATGGGTTGACGATTGTTACGTCGATCAGAATGGACTTGGTGCAGAGGTCCTCTTCCTTCTCTCCTGCGTGTAATCCTGGGGGGATTACCAAATCCATCTTGTATAGCCCCTTTCCCCTACCAGTGCCTGTGGTAAAAGGGGAAGAATCCTCAACGGCGATGGGCATATGGCACTCGCGCAGTGTCTTGAGGACTACTCGAACCATCCTGTTATGGAGGAAGGTTGAGGCGCCGGTCTTGGTGCAGACGAGGGAGTGGGCTCGGCTCAAGCGGTCCTTGCATGGTAACAATGCACCTGCACCACAAAGTTTGCCTGTGTTGCAGTCTGCTCGATCGTGACTCCCCAGTACACGACCGATTGACTCTCGATATAGATCAGGCAGCATTCTTTCATCTGCTGACAACCCTTGCGTTGTCAACCACGACAAAACTCCCTTGCCTTTCGCTTCCTCCAAGCGGATCAACGCCCTCTTCTTTGGCGTTTCCTCGCCTACTACTTTCTGCAAGTCTGTCTCCACCATGTGGCGCACTGCTGCATGAAGAGGTTTCGAAAGGAGAGCTTGGGCTCCAAAGACTTGGTAGTGTTGACCAAATTCATTTCGGCTGAAGGTAGACGGTGGTTGATGTTCTACGTCAGGGTTTCCATCTTCACGGGGTTTTCCCGCCTTCCCTGCTTCCAACAAGTAAACTCCTTTGAGGGCGGGGGTTAACTCATCACTTGTGGCAAGTTTAGCCCATGACTGCCCAACAGCTTTTTCAAGCTTGTCTTTGGTGATGATTTCCTCTAGCTTCTTCAGCGAGTCAATCAGAGCCAATCCTGTCGGTAGCTGGGCAAGCCGGGGTAGACATTGCTCAACTGTGTATCCTGTCGATGCTTGCACTGACTTGGAGAACACCAGCGCTTGCCCTGCCACAAAAGCCGATTCTCGAATGAGAACATTGCTCGTGATTCCTAGTCCTCCTTCTCGCATGGGTAGGTGCACCTGCGCCCGAGCTGTCCCTTTGAAGAAATCTACCTCCTCGCTCTTCGTCGGGTCTGCGCGTACCTCTTTGACCGTTGGTATTCTCATGCTGTCGGCCATCTTGCCAAGGACGATCTTACTCATTGCCCACATCATCATGTTGTCATGTATTTTTGCGGCAGAGTTGGTGATAGACGGTGCAATCGTCCTCAGCAGATGGAACAAACGTGGCACACCAGATAAACGCAGCAGTTGATAGCTGGCTTGAGGGTCGTCAAGCGTTGCTAGGCGGAGTATCAATTCCGCCGGGTCACCACGGGCGATTTTGGAAACGAAATTCCTCTGGAACTCCTCTGTTCCTACTGGGATCCCGACAACTGGCATGCCACCTTCAGCAACTGACAGACCAATTTTCGTCAATTGTTGCTGTTCGTCGTTTGTCAAAGAGGACATGCAAAGACCTTCCGGGAAAAGCACTTTGGATTTCGGGAGACTGAGCTCAATGCCTTTTTGGGAGAGACGTTCCTGAATCCAATTCGTTACAGTGGATATGGCCTGCATGTTCCTAGCCAAACCTGGTGGAAGATGTGCTTGGAGGTCGTCGACGTATCCGATGAGTTTGACTCCTGGCACTGGTGGCTTGTTGTTGAACTCTTTCATGATATCAAGAAGTCCTACACAGAAGCCAAACCCTCCCAAATTGCAGCCTTGTTGAACTCCGCGCTGTGAAAGAACAACCTCGATCGAACCATCTTCCATTTTGAACAGAAGTTTCGCCTTGGTTCGAGCGTAGATGTTCCCGAAGTACTTCACCAAGTGTGGCGTCAAAGTGGCCACTGCTGGCAAGATGGAAGATCTGCGCATGCTGTTGTAAGCGTTTTTCCCATCAAAGGAGAGAATGGTGCTGCCTTGCTGGTGGCTGAGGGCTGCTGTGGAAGCCACTATTTCAACTCCTCCTGGAACACCACCTCCGAACTGATTTGCTGCTTCGAAGATGTTCGCAATTCCTCCCTTGTACTGGCGGTAGAAGCTGCCGCTGATGATGCGACGCAAAACCCCTCCAACTGCAATCGGCCGTTTTTTCTCTCCCAGCGCTGAAAGGTTGGCACTGGTGTGGAGGTTCCACAAGAAATCCGGAAGCTCGTCTCCGTAGTAGAAGACTTTAAAACTGAAGTCCGCCAAGGTTTCAGTAAAAGAATCACTCATGTAGTCTAAGTAGTGATCTTCCCCTAAACCCCGCGACCCTTGTGACCACTGAAAATCTCTTCAAAAAAAATGGAGCCGACAAAAAAAAATGATTTTTTGCGGGCTTTGATTTGCGTCCCGTGTGCGCGCCCTTCCTTCCTTGTGCTTGCCTCTGCGGAGTGCGCAACTCACTCGTGCCGGTGCCGGCTTTAGTACCTACCTCTCTCTGCCTTTTTCTCTCTCCAGTCTGCGAAGCCTTGCAGGATTGATTGCAAAAGAACACAGAAGAAAGCTCTCGCAACCGAGAGGGCCTAAATTAACCGCAAGAAGAACTAACTCCGTGGGCGCTGTGGTGGCATTTGGTTAAACATCGCGCACAAAGCGATGCTTTCCACGCTCCCAGGGAATGATGAGCACAGAACCGAACATAGCACATCTTCCGGCAACACCCGTGGAAACAAGCGAGAGTTTTCATTTTCCACCGGATAAAGTGACGAAAACACACACATACACAACAACAACAACAACAACAACAACAACAACATGTTACACTGGCTTCACATTTTATGTGCCGCAGGAAAAATATCCCATGGTGGTACCTAGACTAGTCTAACTATAATAAAGTACAATTCGCGTCTTCCTTGGTTTTACTTTTCTTTTGTGGCTCCAAAAGCGCCGACGTGATTCAACCAAACACGAGCGTGCATTTCACACAGAAAGCTCTCTCCGAGAAAAAAGGCAACCTCTCTCTGAGTACACTGGATGGACTCCGGTGGGCCACTACTACTACTACTACTAGCGTTTCCCCACAATTTAAGCGGACAGTCAGCGTATATTCGAGAGATCGCCGGCATAACGAACAACGAAATGCATGCGTGCTGGCGTTGAACGAGGCGCATGCATGAAACGGGCGATTGTGGTGAGATACAGTACTGGGCCCTCTATTGTGCAGGTTGAATAGTGCAGGTGCCCAGTAGAGTGCAGGTGAAATCTCTGGACACAGACAGCGCCTTCAATAGTGCACGACCTGCACTTTTGTAGGCAGTCCCGCTTTAGTGCAGGTTGGGCACCGCTGTGCCTCGCAATAGTAGTGCAGGTTGGACACACACAACACACAAACGATAGTGAGAACATGGAGTTGGAAGGAAGGAGGATGGCGGTGACACTCAAAAAAAACGAGCTAGAGTGCAAGGTAGCAGCCTTCATCGACACGTACGTGCAAATCTGCTGTAGCTACTGTTTCTGTCTTTAATCCGGAAATAGCTTAGCCTCCCCCAAGCCGCCCCTGCATGGCGTCCCAGTTAGTGACATTAAGACTAGATAATAAGTGTTTTTTTTTTGTCAATACACCGACCGACGTATTTCCATTGGTCAGCCGGTTGATGCTAGCATGTTTGAGGACGACGAAAAGCACCGCATCTGCAGCAAGTGCGTCGCCAAGGCTGGCAAGCGCAATGCGACACCAGCTGAGGGTGCTGGGGCGGGACCATCCATCTAAACGCACGCCCGAAGAAAACAAAGGCGGGGAGTAAGAAGGGATCTGGTTACAAAGTCTACTACAGCTGTAGCAGTAGTAGTAGTGGTTGTTTGTTTTCTTGTAGTGCGGTTCCTGGCGTGCTTTTTTTTTTTCTTGCAACATCGAACGAGGGCGCGAGGACTGAGATATAGCTTCGTCCACTAAGTATTAATGTTGAAGGAATGGTTCATGCGACAGTTCACGGTGTGCAGTAGTACGAGTGCTGAGACAAGAAGAAAGTAACGATTCAACTTACCAGTAATTTTTCTACATCTCTGTGTGCGACAGGGGGGAACCACACGGGTCGCGGGACAGCCTGCCCACACCCACGCTAGAACAGGGCCCAGCACTACTGTATTTCGATCCATTTCGTACTCTGTTAGCCCCGCGACGCATGAGCGCTACACCATCAAGCATCTCCTCAATAGTGCCGGACCTGCACTATCGAGGTGGTAGTATATTATCCTCAAAGCCTCAATAGCGCCGAACCTGCACTATTGACGCACTATTTTTTTATTTATTTTTGCCTTCCGACAATTGCAGATGTACCTCAGAAATTTGACGCACTATTCTGAATAGTGCAGGTGCCCGCTATAGTGCAGGTAAAATTTCTGGACATAACCCTGCACTACAGAGGGCCCAGTACTGTTGTTGTTGTTGTTGTTGTTGTTGTTGTTGTTGTTGTTGTTGTTGTT